AATTTTCGACAGCCATTTGCACATAGAAGATAAGATGTCGGGACAAATTTTTTTTTTTCATTTGATAGTATATAACATAACCTTTGATTTGATATATGTTTAAAGGACGCAGTATTTCCGGAACATTTTCAAAAGTTCAGTTGAAAAAGATCTATGTTTTTTACAATATTTTAAGTTTTGAACGCCCCCTATATAAGGGGAAATTGTCCAATTTTAATAAAAAGTATGTCAAATGAAAGATGTACTTATAATGTATTTAGAAAAAAAAAATTGTGCTGATATATACATTTTTCAAAAAGTTATAGCATTTTTAAGTTGAAAATTAAAAATCGAAAATCGAAAATTTTAACACAAAAATAGTGTTTTTTTAACTACGGCAGCCGTTTAAATGTAGAAAAAAAAGTGTCGGGACAAATTTTTTTTTTTCATTTTATAGTACATAAAATAAGCTTTAATTTGATATATGTTTAAAGGACGCAGTATTTCCGGACCATTTTCAAAAATTAAGTTGAAAAAGTTATTTTTTGTAAAAAAGTTACTATTTTAAATCCCCCCCAATGAGCAGGTGAAGTGATACATTTTCAAAATAATGATATAAAATGAAAGGTAGATATCTAAGGTTTTAGTGTAAAAAAAAATTATGTTGATTTGTTGATTTTTCAAAAAGTTATTGAAGTTTTAAGAAAAAAAAGTGAAAAAATTTCAAAAATTAGCGATTTTTAAATTTGTAATTTTTTTGGAGGTTTCCCCAATTATGGGGAACGAGGGAAATTTTTTCAATTTTTAAGGGTAATGTCTTCAACTAGATACGATTTGTGATCTTTTGACGTATTTTTCAAAGAAATCGGTCCAGTGAGAGCTAAGAAAAAGTGGCAACAGAAAAAAAAAAAAAAAAAAAAACACATCACAGTAAAATTAATACCTTCTCCGCTTCGCATCGAAGCTAAAATATATTTTGATTCATTCATTTTTCAACAAGACAGTTTTAAGAAAATAAATTTTAAAAATGTTGAAATTTACCGATATTAAAAATCGTAATTTGTTGGGGTTTTTACATCATTTGAGCAGCTCTATTGACCAAGAAGGTTATTGAAAAATAATTTTATGCATGACTAACAGTCTTTTCATTAAAACTATATTTTTTATTACAATGGATTATATTATATTATATCATGCGTAATATTACGAATTTTTCCTGTTACATTCTTCTTCCCAATCAAATACAAAAATTTTCATAACTTCTGAAATAATGGTTCAAAAGTTGTTTAAAACAAAACAAAACGATAAGTAAAAAATAAATAAAAAACCCATCACAGGGGGGTCGTGACACAGTGATGACGTAGCGTAGTTGGATCAAGTATAATGATATCTAACAGTGATTAAAATCACTATCGTTATTCGTATCGTTGAAAGAAATCGGTTCGGTGAGAACTGATAAAAAGTGGTAACAAAAAATAAATAAATAAAAAAAACACATCATAGTAAAATTAATACCTTCTTAGCTTCGCATCAAAGCTATAATTAATTAAAATTAAAATTTGTAAACCCCACCTATGGGTAGGTTAAGAGTCAGGTTTCACAAAAAATGTATTAAATGATTGGTAAATAATTATGGTATTATCTGAAGTCAGTCAAGAGAGATCTTTACTTCAAGAATTCAACTAAAATGTGGTGGCGCCACCGGTTATTTCTCCTCGTACCTCTTTTCTGATAAATGGAATAAATAGACTTGAGATTACCAAAAATTCTTCTACCAACATTTGATAGCTAACTAGAAGAATGGTCTTTCATTAGCGGTCGCTTCCAATCATAAATTACTCATCAAAATGGCTTAACCAATGAGGAAAAATATTTCTATTTAATGGGTTGCCTTTCTGGTGAAGTAGCGAAAGTAACAAAGGGATATCATTTGTCGTCAAATAATTATACCCTAGCTTGGACAGTATTAGAGGAACGTTACAACAAGCCTCGTCAATTAGCTAATGTGCTAATGAAGAAGCTACCAAACATTTAACGCGTAGGACAAAAAACAGTTATCCATCTTAAAGAATTTTAAAAGTATTTGAAGATTCTATAGCATTGTTAAATACTCTTTCTATACCTGATGTTGGAGATTTTGTATTATTCACGCTAGGAATAAGATGTCTTTCCTTTGGTCGAGGACTTCACGTTTGTGAAAAATCGGATTAGAGTGCTGGAAAATTTTGGAACTCATATAATAGATAACAGATACTAAAACAGCTGACTTAAACAAATTTAATCAGCCATACGTAACCAAAGCTGTGCTTTTCGATCGCCAAAATAATGTAATCATGAATAAAACGTCAAAGTGATATATGTGCCATAATTTACCTGCAAATTATGGTCTAATGAGTACTTGGTTACTTTACAATGGCACAATGATTGAACTCGTGAGTAGCCTAATACTAAAGTAAATGATATCTTCTTTTTCTCCCTCGCCTTAATCAAAACTACTTGGGGTCGGCCACCCTTATCCTAAACTTCCATTTGACACGATCTCCCACATCCTTTACGCTCACATCAGCAGTCCTCAAATCGCATTCAATAGCATCCCTCCAACTCTGNTCCCTCCATCTCTTTTTTGGTCTTCCTCTATCTCTTCTTCCTTCAACATTCATTTCTATAACTGTTCTTACAGCTTCCGATTCTTCTCTCCTCATAACATGACCAAACCATCTAAGTCTATTTTCTCTCATATTATCCACGATTGACGCTACACCTATACTCCCTCTTATATGCTCGTTTCTTATTCTATCTTTTCTAGTCACTCCACTCATCCATCTAAGCATTCTCATCTCTGCTACACTCATTCTCTGCTCTACTTTCTTATCAACCACCCAACACTGATACCCAACACCCAACACATCATAGCTGGCCTTATTACAGTCTTGTAAAATTTACCTTTCAGCCTCATTGGAATTCTTTTATCGCATAAGACGCCAGACGCTTCTCTCCACTTCAATTACGCGCACTTAATTCTGTGTATTTCATCCTCGTTAAGGGGTAATATCCACCAAATTTTTTTTTTTTTTTTTATTGGCTTAAATCATGCTAAAACTATCCTAGAATCAAAATCTTCAACGCCCAAGTACTGATCTAAACTCAAAATTCGTTTAAATCAATTTTTTCCGAACAACTTTTATGCTCCAAAATCACATTTTTCGCTTATTTTAGCGATGCTCGTTTTTTTTTTTAATTTCGCGGCTTTGTAAATTAGTAGAAGTTACCTGTGATCGATATCTTTTTTTGTATATGAAGTATAGAATTTCGATCGTTACAGCGTCTGTACAGCACGTGTTTACTCACAATTTCCCTTTGTTTAGTCGATCAGCCGTTCTAGTTGTGTACGTTCTTAGTTTGAGTTTTGCTATACTTTTTAACTGTGAATTATATTCAAAAGTACTTAATTATGAGTAACAAGTTGTACAGTGGCCACAAAGGCAGTAAAACAAGAAGTACCAGAACAACCCGGAGTAAAATTAGTAACCGACACTCGCCTAACCGCTATGCGTTCGAAGGCTATTCGAAATAAGGCGAAAAAATTAAAAACTTCTGATTTAAATCGTGATTGCGATGTTGATAGGGATTTCGGCTACTGTTTCATACATTTTTTGTCGCTGTATTTACTGCTCTTTCTGAATTATTAGTATGTAAAAAATGTAATAGTGATGTGCGGTTTTCACAGTCGAGCAAGCGTGGACTAGGCTTCAAGATTGTTGTGTCTTGTTTGAACTGCGGGGATGCCGATATTTTTAACTGTCCTCTAATACATGATCGTGCTTATGAGATCAATTGCCGTATTATTTTTGCTATGCGCGTCATTGGCATAGGCATCAACGGTATAAAAAAGTTCTGTGCGATGATGGATCTCGCAAAGCCTGTTTTTCAAACAACTTACAGTATGATCATTTCCAATATTGGCACTGCTACTTCATCTGTTAAAATTATTTCTATGAAAAAATCAGCTATTGAAGAGAAAGAACGTTCTATTGAACGAGGTGAAGAAGGCGGTCTTATGGTGTCAGGCAATGGATCTTGGCGTTGAATCAATGTTGGATCAATGGTGGCTTTCATCTTTGTTTGGATTAGTTACTTTAATTGGTTGGCACACTGGCAAGGTATTAGATGTGTATATAAAATTAAAGTACTGTAAAGTGTGTGAATATTGGCAAAAAAAAAGAAGGTACTGCTGAGTACGAGGAGGTGTACCCTTCGCACAATGAAAGTGTTCTTGGTGTTCTTGACAGCGCAGTAAAGCGCTTGGTACTCTTGCAACATACGAGCACAAGAGTCCAATGCATGAGGATGTTTTCAAGGCGATACAACCCATGCAAAAAGAACTCAGCTCCGACAACCTTCAGTCACGCTGCTTGGGTGCGTATTCTCAAAATAGTAACGAGTATTTCAATGGTGTAGTGTGGTTAATTGCTCCAAAAACGATATCTAGCGATAAGATTATAGTTGATATTGCGACTGATGTAGCTGTTATTACCTTCAACGAAGGTTTATGATGACGTTTATGATGCTCTTGGGTTAACCGTTGGACCGAACATGTACGAGTTTTGCGTAGGATCGGACGCCAATCGCGTCAAAGTCTCTGATCATCGTATGTCCGATATCGCGAAAGAGGCTAGGAGCAGCCTTACATCAGACAAAAAAAAGGAAGAAGAGGAAAATAAGGACCAGGAAGGACAACTTTACGGCGCAGGGATAGCTGACTGAAGGTAAAAAAATTATTAAGGACTATATTATTGCGATTCTTAAGATTTATAGCATTTTGAAACTTTAAACGCGTTTTTCTCAAAACCATGTTATCAAAATCGGCGAGCAGTAGAACTGAAAAAGTTTACATCCGATTGACTTGAAATTTTAACTGTAGCTTCTTCATTAGATTATCTAGTGAAGTACACACGATTTTAGCGATTGGTTAACAACAAAAAAAGTTATAAACAATTAAAGTCGATTTTTATTGTCGAAAAAAAAAAATTTTTTCAAACCGTCGCCATTTTGCGAAAAAAAATTCTAAAAATATAATCATGTGTACTTCACTAGCGACACTTGTGTAGATAATGAAAAAAATTTTTCTTTTGTTATAGGTGGAGTTGGGCACGACTTCTACTGCTCGCCGCGGAGGAACTTTTTAAAACAGCAGTTCACGGCAATCGCTGCACAGCCACCATTTTGTAAAAAAAATAACAATAAATAATATGTTTCTATTCTCCAAGAGTTGCTTAATCCAATGATATATTATTTATATACCTTACATCTCAAATATCCTTTAAAAAAAATCATGAAAAAAGCCTTGATCTATTGAGCATTTGGTGGATATTACCCCTTAATATTACCACTCTTTTTCACAACTGACCCTAAATACTTAAAACTCTCCACCTCCAATCACGTCCTCGCCTATTATCACTAACCTCCTCATTTCACCTACCTCGTGTTTTCCTTTGTCAAACTCGTACTCTATATACTCTGTCTTACTTCTACTTATTCTTAAACCCTTTTCTTCAAGAGCTAATCTCCACTCCTCTAGCCTTTGATTAATTTCCTCCCTATTTTCTCCTATTAACCCAAATCGTTAGCAAACAACATGCACCACGGCAACTCCTTGTATTTCTCTAGTAATTTCATCCATCACTATAGAGAATAAGTAAGGGCTTAAAGCAGAACCTTGGTGCACTCCTACGCTTTTTACCCTGGTACAAGTGTCATCATACATATCTTCTATTATATAAATGTACCTTTCGGGACTCCTTTTCTCATTAATGCCCACTTTAAAACCTCTCTCGGTACTTTGTCATACGCTTTCTCCAATTCTACATATACCTTACTCAGCTTTTTCTTCTTTTCCCTAAACTTTTCTATTAGTTGCCTCACACAAAATTCTAGCTCCATTGTTGACTTACCAGGCATAAATCCAAACTGGTTTTTAGATACCGATGTCTCATTTCTAAATCTTTTATCTATTATCTTTTCCCAAATTTTCATACTATGACTCATAAGCTATATGCCTCTATGATTTCCACACTCCTCTATGTCTCTTTAACCTTTAAATATCGGGACCGCAATACTATTTCTCCATTCATTTGGTATTTTCCCTTCTAATAAAATTTTATTTAAAAGTTCCTTCAACCACCTTAAGCCAACACCGCCTGATATTTTCCATACTTCTACTGGCACTTCATCTGGTCCTACTGCTTTATTCTTTTTCATTGATGTTACAGCCTCCCATACCTCTACTAGTCCCTCATTCTACGAGATATCCTCTAATGTTTTTTGGGTACTCTCATTCAATAATTTTTCAAAATATTCTTTCCACCTTTTTTTCACATTATCATCACTCGAGAGTACCTTATTATCAACACTTTTTATACACCTTATATAATGATAATCTTTAGACCTTTTCTCTCTTATCTTTGCAAGTCTATAGATTTCTTTCTTGCCTTCCTTTGTTCCTTACCTATCATACAACTCATCATACCTTTTAAACATCATTTATGTCTCCCTCGACATTCCACACCGTCCTCTCTTTTACAAACTCTTTCATTTTCCCTTTTCAATTTCTACCACCTGATCTTCGATTTTTCTTTTGTGTTTCTTCTATTTTTATTTATTCTCTTTCTGGTATACCACAACTCCATTACCATCAGTCTATGTTGTGTAGTTACACTCTCCCCTGGTATAACTTTACAACCTTTTACTCGTTTTACGCTCTTATCCTTACACCATTCTTTGTACTAGACTTACCCGAGTATATTATTTTATAACTCTCACCTATTTCGCTTGATTTCTTTCCTTTCCACTTAATTTCCTGCACACAACAAATGGTGTGCAGGAAACTAAAAACTACCAAAGTAAATGATATAGTGATCATTAAACAGGACAATCTTCTCTTATTAAAATGGATTATCGGTAGAGTTGCCAAAGTCTACCCAGCTCTAGATAACGTAGTTCGAACTGTGGTTGTTTTGACAATCTGTGGCATTCTCGAGCGACCAATTGTTAAGTTAGTTGCCTTAATAAATGGTTAAAATATTGCCTGCTGTAACGTCAAGTTTGTGAAGATAACCCCATCCAGTTGTAACGACTTTGTTGAGTGTGTCGGAAGTGGTGGTATTATTTACAATTGATTTGAATTCCAACTAACTTTTGAAGTAATTTTTGAATTTTATATTGCAGCGACGTACGGTTGCCGAGTCGGCAATGCCTTTGGGTCAAACACGAGCTGAGAGGAACAATTAGCAGGTCGAATAAAATTAAAATTATTTTTGTTTGTCTAAATATTATTTAAAGAATATATTTATGAAATATTAATAAGTACGGGATCGCCTAACTAATTATAAAAGTTTTGTAAATTGATTATTATAGTTTGATATCAGCAGCAATAGATTTATTTATAATCCTCTTGGTAATCGTTTCAATATCAGTTAAATATAATACAATCATAATCTAAATTGTATATAATACACGAAAACTAGAACAGTTAACTAAAAAGTATATTTTTATTAATAACACTTAAAAACAAAGACATTTTAAAAAAATTTTATACGATGAATCATTGTATGATTAAAGCATAAATCGGTCAAAAAATTATTTTATTAAAATATCTATTTAAATCAAAAACTTTTAAGTGTCCGTAGTATCATCATCCACAGGTAATACTAAACTATCTGGTTCTCGAGTAGAATCCAATGTTTTATGTAATTTTTCTAGTTCTAACATTTGAGTAGTGTAATGCTTTCCTTTTTTTGGCTGTTTCATTACTATTCTCAGGTTAGGAGACATTTTTAGTGCTATTACGTTACTTCTGTTAAATAAATTACACACTTTGAATTTTTTTTTCGATAAATTATTAGGAAGAAAAATTAATGAAAAATACGTAATATATTACTTTGAACTTCCTACAATTACTATTGGCATTCGCCAGTTGAATGCCATTTTAGTAAGTTGATATTGATTTTCAGGTTGAATTGGTTGACTGCATATATTTTTATATTTATCTGCGTCTAAATCGTAGAACACCATATCACAATCTTCTGTAATAACCCCAAAAACCGTACTTGAAAATGGCGACCATAATACATCGGAAACGCTCCATAGTAAGTCAAACATCAACAAAGGAATACTTAAATCAAAAATATAACAGTATGTTTTCAAAAAATTATACTAAGTTTATTCCTGACTATTTTTAAAGTAAATAGAAATATTTTTTGAATTGAATTAATGCTCTTAACAGACTAAATAAAAATTGTAAAAAAAAAAAAGGGGGTATCGATCATACAAAAAGAAAATCATTATAGTAAATTTAATACTTTCTCAGCTTAGCATCAAAGCTAAAAAGAATTTAGTAGAGACATCTAATTGAAGGGATGAGAAAATTAGATATCCAAATATTACTCACTCAGATTTATCTTCCCATATTTTTACTGTACAATCTCCACTACAAGATATAAAAATATTCGGATCAAATTTGTTATAATCGATTCGATACACTGATGTTTCATGCGCTTTAAATTTTTGCATGAAAAATGAGCTCCATTCTGTGTTACATTTAAAAATATAACCCTCATTGGTGCCTACTAAATATATTCCATTGTTTTCTGGATGAAAAGCAATTGTTGTACCCCGACCTAAAATATCAATATAATTTTTAGTTCAAGTCATTAACGATGGTGCATTTAAAAATATGCATTAATACGATCACATATATGTGTTCATATCCCACAACATCATTGTACTATCGACTAGGCTTATAACATTGAAAGAACAACGTTACGTATTGCTACAAAAGGGTAGAGTGCACACATAAATACTCTGGGNACGTTACGTATTGCTACAAAAGGGTAGAGTGCACACATAAATTCACGTATACTATGCCATAATAGCACGAGTGTCCCAAACGCCATTTGACTTTTTACCATAATCGTGACTATTAATCTCATTATCTAAGATATTAAATTAGATTAGCTATCACCGAGATAATGTGTGTGTGTCGCCGTCAAATCCCTGTTAGAAAGTATAAATAAAATAGGAGACCTCAGTACATAAGGTAGATATAGTTAATACCCTTATAAATGCATCAACTTTATTTTTTTTAATGGAACACATATTTTGAATTTAATAAAATGTTTTAGTTTTTAATTTAATAGTAAATGGTATTTGAATTTTTAATATAACATTATTCGTTTAATAATTATAAAATTTTTAAGTTTCAAATTTTTGAGTTAATTTACATATATAATACACGAGGAATTACAAACACAGAGAGCTAATTGGTTTTTTATGATATCGATATTCGCAGATACTCAAAATTTATATCAATGTTAGTTATGCATATTGTTGTGAGTTTATAAATACACGATCAAGCCTACATTCTCTCATCTAATTCACGATCGGCGCTACTCCTTTGCTTCTTCTTACATATTCATATGTTATCCTATCTTCTCTCGTTTATTATATATTATATAAATTTCTAAATATTTGGCTATTAGACTCACGAAATTTCTCTCATTTTATGTTGATAGTTATTGGTAAGGTTTTAGATTTAAAAACATTTATGAAAAGTTTTAAATTTAAAATACAAATATTTGCCCTGGGTTTTGATTTAAAATTTGTTTTTGTAGTATTAAAACAAACCTATAAGTTTTTCGTTTATTCCTCCTAATGTTATTTGTGGTTTCATGTCTAAAACTAAAGTAACAATAATTGTTTTAGACATTTCGCTTTGCATAAGTAACCAATTACAGACTGTTCCATCCTCGGATATCGAATAGAAATTCATTTCCCCATCAGGTAAATCTTTAGCCCAAACTACCTGAAATTAATTTTTAATAACATTTCATAAATAACTAACTAATGTGTCCATTTCAATTTTTTTTTATCACAAGATATAAAATAAAATTGTTGAAATTTAAAAGTAGTATTTTGGAGATAGTATTAAGTAGAGAAACATCACAGGAAAGAAAAAAAAATTACAAACTAGGCCAAGTTCGGGTTATAATAAAATCAGTAAAAAACTTAATTGTATATAACCGTAAATATTTAGCACACCTGTCTTACACACGCTTTATGCTTAGTATTTACTGCATCTGTCATGTACTGTGGTTCTTTAGTTGGTAAACTAACATTATATACAGCTAGATGACCATCATGAAATCCAACAGCAATTAAGAAACCATGTTCACGATGAAAATCTAAACACATTGCTCCACAATGCGTTTGATTTATGTACTCTGGATATGATGGATTCTTTAATGACCATAAACAAATATATCCTATATCCGAACTATCTGTTAATGGCAAGTGCCCTATTGCTGTGGATATAAAATAGAAAAAAAATTTTAAATGTGTTTTGTTAACTTTTTCTATTACTTACGAGTTCCAAGTGTTACAGCAAATAGATCAAAATAATCAGGACTCCAGCTAATATCTGTTACATATAGGGATTCTGCTTTTTCATACTGCATCGTCCACAGTGGTAGTAATGTACCTTCTCTACCTCTAAATTGATCTGAAGGGTCTTCATAATAACGAAAATCTGAGGCATAAAAGTCAGATTTTTAATCTATAAAACTTATAAACGTAATTACGTACTTTATATCTTATTATTATAACATATATAACATGAAAATAACTCAATTTTTAGCTCTTCTCCAAAAATAATACACTCCTGCATTAAAGGTTCAATTTACCCATTTCATAAGTGAGTTGGGTCAGATCGCATTAAATTTTTTCTGGTGAGTTAGGTTGCCAAAGTGTTTCAAAACTTATGAAATCGGGTTGGTTAAACTCGAATAACTTAAAAATAGAAATATTCAAAAAGAAAAACTTGTATATACTTTTATTATGATGTTAAACTATTTTTAAAATTTAAAAATTTACAGGAAAAAAGATTTTTTCTAACAAAAAGTACAAACAGCAAAACATGTTAAGAATTAATATAGAATTTTAAAAGTTAGCAACAAGTAATTAAATTAACAATATATTAGAATTAGATAGAAGGATGATATTTGGGGTCGGCTTAGTGGTTAAAAACGTATTTTTCGGCGCACAGGGTCCCAAGTTCGTTTCCATGATGCTAACGAAATTTTTCTTGTGATTTTTTCATGGTGGTATTTGGTCTCTAGCAGAAGCCTACCATAATACCAGCCTTTTTCATCATTAGCCTAACCAAAAACCATCGTTGATTCCCTAACATGTGAAAGAGGGCCAACACCCTCTGTAGCATGTTCAGGAAATTGAAGGTTCTAAAACAATAATACTTAAATAATTTTTAGATTTGTGTATTAAACTAGATGGAAGTTTAATTCAACATTAGTTTAAGTAAGTTAAGTTGGATTAATTTCTCTTCAGGTCCGTTCAGATCTATAAATTGCTTACCAATGCTCACGAGAAAAATTATGACTATCAATGCAGCAAGTTTGATTTAATCTATTTTTAAAATCTATTTTAAAATAAAATTGACTAGATAGAATAAGATATTGCACTGAGTTCAAAAAACAAATAGTATTGGATATTTCTTTTAACTCTACTCTATTAATAGTTTTAGCTCATAAAATTTTTAATTAGTGTTTGAAGTTAATTATTACAAGGGCAGTTTGGACATTCTTAACGATAGTGACTGTTAGAGGTTTTAAAATTTGTATACATGATAAAATTAAAAGAACAGATTATAACTAAAACGTTAAAAACACATCATGTTATATTAATACCTTGTGCTATAGCATCCAATGTATTAAGATTGATTATTCGTTCTAGAAACTTTGCGGCCATTAACATATTTTTTTCCAAGTAATTTTCACTTACATCAGTTTTTTTTTTTTTGCTTAAACTCTTTTTTGTAGCATGTGCAGCTAATTTTTCTCTTTTTTCTCTTTCTTTTTCTTCCAACTGTTTTGCAAAATCTTCGTTGTACGAGTCGTAAATAATCCATTGTGTGACGTAAATATTGAAATCATCTTTTGATGGTGGAGTTGTTTGAGCTTCTTTATCCTGCAATAGTTTTATATTTTATTTAATATTAATAAATATTTTTACATAGAAATCTTTCATACTCGTAAGACAATTTCCTCCGTCTGTGCACATCTATCAAAAAAATTAAACTGATTCATCAGTTTTTTTACAACACATCTTTGTTTTACAGGTAGACTATTAGTTGTAATGGTCGATTCTTCTTTTACAATAGCTGGGGCATCTTCGTCGGAATCTGATGTTGCTTTTGGTTTCCAAGAAATTGATTTTTCTTCATCCATTTCTTCTTCACCATTTATTTCTTCGTTTTGAAGTTCATTTTCTACTTCACCTTCCCCTTCCTCCATTTCTTCTCCCAACCCGACATTTTCGGTAATCAGCGCTTGATATTCTCCTTCAAAGTCACCTTCTTCTTCTTCGTTTTCAATACTATCCTCATCGACTCCTCCTAAGTCCTCTTCTTTCTCTAAAATTATTTAATAAACTAAATTATACCAACACTAATTAAATAGTAAGTTAAAATTTTAAACTTATTTAGGAACTGTATATCTTACTGCATAATTCGTTTTCTTTTTGGATATTTGCTTCTGAAGACTCGTTATGAAGTAAAGTTGATTTTAAATTAATTAATTGTATATATGGTAGACTTTTCTTTGCTGGCAAAAATTCTCCAACTTTATAACTATATGTAACTCTAGACGTTTTTTCTGGAGGTTCAACGACTAACAAAACATTTCCAATAGGTTCATCTAGTTCCTGTTTTTATATTATTTACATTTATCAGTTAACTTAATAAAAATGTTATCCTGTTAAATGGTTTCAATAAATCAAATAATTTAATAATGTGTTTTCGAATAAAAAAAAAATTAATAAACAATTTTTAAAAAAATGTTGGTACATTACGAAAAAAACTAGTAATTTTAAAAAAATTTTCTATATGAAAATCTCATGTCACGGTGTTTACTAAACTGGTTTTAATGAAATTTGACATACATGTGTAATTGGGTCCAACTTAGACAATATGATAGTTTTTATATTGATTAATAGCCTCAGTTATTTTTTATTGAAAATTATATTCGTAAAAGTCGATTGCTATTACTTTCTCATAGATGGCGGTATAAAACTTTTATATTTTATCAATTTACATTATTAAAGTAATGTAAGCGTCATACAGATGGCGCCTAACTATGTGTGTTTTCTTTCAATAATTGTAAACGCTAATCAAAATTATTGACAATAATTGGTGATTTCCGCTTAGACACGCTATTTTTTCCATATATTAATCTGCGATACATTTTATAGGTTATTGCGTAAGTATTACTTGATTTATTAATGTTTTTTTTTTCAATTATGTCATTTTATTTGATTTAATATATTTAATTAAACGTATTTTAATAAAATCAATAAAATTTTATGCAATTTATTTATACAATCTTTTTTTTATCTTTTGTTTATATTCACATGACGCAAATTTGAAATCACATATTTATTGTGTAAGTTTGACTTTAATTATATTTCTTTTTTGTATTTAATTATTGACTTAAAATATTTAATTAAATTTATTTCAAGAAAATTATATCAAATAATACATATTCATCGTATATTTTTTATTTTATTTTATGTTATTTTTTCATCCAAACCTGTTCGAAATTTAAAATAAATATATAATTTTATTTCGAAATAAATCTAAAAGTCTTAATATTTTGAAATTATAATTTTAGTTTCCTTATTGACTATAAGGAACTTTTAGAATTGGTCATAATATTTTTTGGTGAAACAACTTTACATAGAATTTATTTTAAAATTCCTGGCCCAATCCATCATGCTCGTTGGATGGCCAAGGCCATTTATTGTTTGAAAATTTTTTTTGTTTCGCGGCCAATTTGAATTGTCAATCAAAGAATTAATTATTTAAATAACATTCGTTCATTATGTATTTTTATTACAAGTTTATATAGTTTCTGGTTGTATATAAATTTGTAAGTGAACATTATTTTAGCTTCAATGTGAAACTGAGACGGTATTAATTTTACTCTGATGTATTTTTTTTAATTAAAATTAAAAAAAATTGTAGGTTTTGAATAGTAGATAATAGAAAAAATGTCGAATTAAAAATGTATAGAAAATTAAATTTAAAACAACGGTTAAATGCATTTTTTTTATGTTTTTATAATGAGCGATTTATAAATTAACAGTCTTAACGGTAAGAATAGAACATATACGTTTTTATTTTTTTAGGGCTAAATAAGAACTTTTCGAACATTTTTGTATATATACTTTTTATAGAAAAATTGTATACCTACATAAAGGTTGAATAAACTTTTTCGCAAAAGCTAAAGTTTTTGAGATAGACATAAAAAATTAAAAAATCACCCTTGGGGGTTATTTTTAACCCCCTTGGGGCACGTCTTAGAGTTGACCAATCGTCTCCAAATTTCGTACAATTTATTTTTTCATGTATTCGAATAATTCTAGGGGGTGGCACTTTGAATTTTTTAATTTTTATAAATAAGGAACACCCTACTATATATATGTATATATCGAACAGTAACTATCGAACTATTCGAATAGTAAAAATATCTTCGAATATATTAACACGCTTATATTAGTTTCACTTGTATGATGTGTGTTTTGTGTTTGTAAATCTCCACCCGCCAGGTGTTATTATACTACCGTACCCCGTAGTCAATGGCCTTGAGACTAGACAGTCGTAACGCATTCACCTCACCCCGCTCACCACTCGTCGTAAACAATATTTTCCAACCCGTAGATGCGCGCGTGTCATCGTATATAACGAAGCGACGCGGGGCCGTGTCAGTCAAAATAAAAATTTATTTAAATATATATATATTAGGGTGTCCCTTATTTTTAAAATGTTGAAAAGTCCTAACTCTTACCCCCCCAAATTTTTGTGTATACATCAGACAACTTTTATCCGTGCCGACGTGAGGTTGAAAATCGACAGAAAGAGGTAGTTTTTTAGTCTTTTGCAATTAACTAGGGAATTTGTGCTCCCACAAAAAAAAATCATTGAAGCTAAATTGTAGATCTAATTGTTTAGCATAATATATATTCCTACAATTTTTCTTCTAAATCCATTATCTTTCCATAAAAATTATAAAAAATGTATTATTTGTTGATATTACTAAAATTGGGATACTTACAAATATTTTGTCTTGTCTGGCGAGCATTTTATGATAAAGCTTAATGTTTCATATAAAAATTGTTTAAAATGAAGTTTTCTATACAAATGGTAATTAACTTATTTTTTATTTGACAGTTCGTTTCATTGTTACAGATAAAATAATTCTAAGTATAATTTTATTTCAAAATATGTTGAGTAATATAGTAATTACGCTAAATATCATGATTCAAAATCGTTTTTAGCTTCGATGCGAAGCTGAGAAGGTATTGGTTTTACTAAGATTTTTTTTTTTTTGTGTCTGTTACCACTTTTTCTCAGCTCTCACCAAACCGATTTCTTTCAACGATACGTCAAAAGATCACAAATCGTATCTAGTCGAAGACATTACCCTCAAAAATTGAATAATTTTCCCTTGTTTCCCGTAAATGGGGGAAACCTCCAAAAAAATTACAATTTTAAGATGACAACTTTTTCAACTTAAATTTTGAAAGTGTTCCGAAAAGTCTGACACTTTTATATATATCTTAAATTAAAGCTAATGTAATTTATTTTATTATGCAAAAAAAAAATGTTCGGACTTTATTTTATCTTCATGGTGAAAATGGCTACCAAATGCTATTGTTGTGTGAAAATTCTCGATTTTATTTTTTACATTTTTAACTTTATAATGCTATGACATATTAATAAGTGTATGGATCAACATTATTTTTTTATGAGAAATAATATTTTTTAATAATCCCTTTTTCATTCGACATACTTTATCTTAATCAGGATATAAATAAAGAAATAGCAGATCATGTAGCTTTTGGAATAATCCATCAATTTTTTTCAATTGAACACTATTTAAAGATTTGCATCGAAGCGTTTTTTTTTTATAGTGATTTTAATCACTGTCAGATATCATTATACTTGATCCAATTATGCCACGTCACCACTGTGCCACGACCCCCCTGTGCTGGGTTGTTTTTTTTTGCATTGTTTTTAAGTTTTGTTCTAGGTTTTTGTAATTGGACAGTGAGCCACCCTTCATTTTTGTATTGTGTTATTTTTATTATAAAACCATAAGTCTAAATGAAGTCAGAATTATCAAGATGCCCCCTTTTGCCCAACATTACCCTACACTATTTTTATAAGATAGAAAATCATGCTTGAAAATTAAATTATTGTGTTATATTTTACAGGTTATTTGTCAAATACTTTACCGTGTTAATTCTTCTACTAAGACATTTCAATATATACTTCAATCAACTCTGCCATTTACCGAATGTATTCATAAATTTTCAATTCTTGTATCTACTATTGGTGTATTATTATCAATGATTCAATGTGAAATTGATGAAGGTTGGTCTTGAAATGGAATTTATAACGGAAGATGGCCGTTGTAAAGATGAAATTCTAAGTAGAATAGCGCAAGCGAAGAGGGCTTTCCAGAATAAAAAACACCTACTAACCACCAATAGTATGGACTTAGAGGTAAGGAAAAGGTTCTTAAAAATATATATATGGAGTATTGCCTTATATGGCTGTGAAACCTGGACAATCAGTGCAATAGAGAAAAGAAAACTAGAGGCCTTCGAATTGTGGTGTTATCGTAAAATGTTAAGAATTAAATGGATTGATAGAATAACGAATGAAGCAGTATTAAATAGAATAAAAGAAAAAAAATACTATGGCATACCATAAAAGTTAGAAAAGCTAAAATGATAGGATATCTACTACGCCATGAGAGTATAACAAAAACCGTCATAGAAGGCTACGTGNGGTGTTATCGTAAAATGTTAAGAATTAAATGGATTGATAGAATAACGAATGAAGCAGTATTAAATAGAATAAAAGAAAAAAAAATACTATGGCATACCATAAAAGTTAGAAGAGCTAAAATGATAGGACATCTACTACGCCATGAGAGTATAACAAAAACCGTCATAGAAAGCGACGTTGAAGGCCATATAGGAAGAGGAAGACCAAGGATGGAGTATATGAAGCAAATAATTAGTGACATGGGGAAGAATAGTTATAAAGAACTACAGGAATTGAGTAATGATAGGGAAGCATGGAGAACTGCAGCAAACCAATCTAAGGATTGAAGACTGAAAAAAAAAAAAAATGCTATAACTTATTGAAAAGTGTATGGATCAACACAATTTTTTTATGAGAAATAATATTTTTTAATAATCCCTCTTTCATTCGACATACTTTATCTTAATCAGGATATTAATAAGGAACTAGTAGATCATGTAGCTTTTGAAATAATTCACCAATTCTTTTAAATTAAACACTACTAAAGATTTGCATCGAAGCGTTTTTTTTTTATAGTGATTTTAATCACTGTCAGATATCATTATACTTGATCCATCTATGCCACGTCACCACTGTGCCGCGACCCCCCTGTGCTGGGTTTTTTTAATTTTTATTTGCAATTAATATAATATTCACAATTGATAATTGTGATAACAGGTTAGTTTTTCAGTAAGTTTTTCGGTTAATAATTTTAAAGTTTTCACTTAGTTCTGTATAAGTTAGTTTGTGTTTTTCAATAGAACATTTAATATTCACTAAGTTACGAATCGTTGAACTAAAAAATTAATACTATTTTAACGTGTATTTTTAA